TCCAGCCTTCTCCTCGCTGCAACATTCATCACCATGCTTCACACCCATATAAGAGCGTTGGTAAAACTATACTCTCATACATTCCCCTCTTTGCCTCCAAGGACATAGTTCTTTGTCTCCAGAGACTCTTAAGTGCACCACTCACCCTTTTCCCCTCATCAATTCTATGATTCACCTCATCTTTCATAGACCCATCCGCTGACACGTCCACTCCCAAATATCTGAATACATTCACCTCCTCCATACTCTCTCCCTCCAATCTTTCATCACCTAATCTTTTTGTTATCCTCATAACCTTACTCTTTCCTGTATTCACTTTTAATTTTCTTTCTTTGCATACCCTACCAAATTCATCCACCAATCTCTGCAACTTCTCTTCAGAATCTCCCAAGAGCACAGTGTCATCAGCAAAGAGCAACTGTGACAACTCCCACTTTATGTGTGATTCTTTATCTTTTAACTCCACGCGTCTTGCCAAGACCCTCGCATTTACTTCTCTTACAACCCCATCTATAAATATATTAAACAACCACGGTGACATCACACATCCTTGTCTAAGGCCTACTTTTACTGGGAAATAATTTCCCTCTTTCCTACATACTCTAACTTGAGCCTCACTATCCTCGTAAAAACTCTTCACTGCTTTCAGTAACCTACCTCCCACACCATACACCTGCAACATCTGCCACATTGCCCCCTATCCACCTGTCATACGCCTTTTCCAAATCCATAAATGACACAAAGACCTCTTTAGCCTTATCTAAATACTGTTCACTTATATGTTTCACTGTAAACACCTGGTCCACACACCCTACCTTTCCTAAAGCCTCCTTGTTCATCTGCTAACTATTCTCCGTCTTACTCTTAATTCTTTCAATAATAACTCTACCATACACTTTGCCAGGTATACTCAATAGACTTATCCCCTATAATTTTGCACTCTCTTTTATCCCCTTTGCCTTTATACAAAGGAACTATGCATGCTCTCTGCCAATCCCTAGGTACCTTATCCCTCTTCCATACATTTATTAAATAATTGCACCAACCACTCCAAAACTATATCCCCACCTGCTTTTAACATTTCTATCTATCCCATCAATCCCGGCTGCCTTACCCCCTTTCATTTTACCTACTGCCTCACGAACTTCCCCCACACTCACAACTGGCTCTTCCTCACTCCTACAAGATGTTGTTCCTCCTTGCCCTATACACGAAATCACAGCTTCCCTATCTTCATCAACATTTAACAATTCCTCAAAATATTCCCTCCATCTTCCCAATACCTCTACTCTCTCCATTTAATAACTCTCCTCTCCTATTTTAACTGACAAATCCATTTGTTCTCTAGCTTTCTTAACTTGTTAATCTCACTCCAAAACTTTTTCTTATTTTCAACAAAATTTGTTGATAACATCTCACCCACTCTCTCATTTGCTCTCTTTTTACATTGCTTCACCACTCTCTTAACCTCTCTCTTTTTCTCCATATACTCTTCCCTCCTTGCATCACTTCTACTTTGTAAAAACTTCTCATATGCTAACTTTTTCTCCCTTACTACTCTCTTCACATCATCATTCCACCAATCGCTCCTCTTCCCTCCCACACCCACTTTCCTGTAACCACAAACTTCTGCTGAACACTCTAACACTACATTTTTAAACCTACCCCATACCTCTTCGACCCCATTGCCTATGCTCTCATTAGCCCATCTATCCTCCAATAGCTGTTTATATCTTACCCTAACTGCCTCCTCTTTTAGTTTATAAACCTTCACCTCTCTCTTCCCTGACGTATATATACGACCGAAACAGTCAAATGGTTAAGGCAAATACAACATTGGCCAGAATAATGAGAGCCTTTTTGCGACTTCTTTACTGGTGCCTTTGTGGAATGAGGTATATCAGTGCTTTTAATGACTTCAGGGCAGCTCCTGCAAGTTTAACCCTTTAGCATTTGGTCATCGAATTATTGAAGTGATTTGAATGTGTTTCATGTATGTTATAGAATAACCCATTCTTGAGAATTTTTTGAGAATGAGTTCAAATTATCACATACATGTATGTACAAGAAATCGTGAGCGATTGGCAGTATTGGTGACTTTCCGCATTATTAAAAATCTTTTGAGTTTTATTAAGCGTGAGTGATATATGCATGGATTTGCAACAATTGCACAATCCAGGGCAATGTGGATTTACTTTAGAGCAGGTTGCTCCTACCCTGCACAATTGCTAGGCTGTTATGATATTCTCTTGGACAGACATATACACTGATCACAGGTGTTTCAAAACCTTCAGGAAGTGTGTTCAGAGTGTCATAGTACACAAAATTAATACAATAGGAATACATAACTGAAAAAATGGGTAGATGTATTTTTAACTCTAATAAACTAAAACTGGAGTCATAGTCAACAAAATAAAATCAGAGGCTGCTGCAGCAAAAAGCTCTACTCCTCAAGGCACAGTACTTGCTCTGATTCCCCTTTTCCTTCTCATATCTGACATGGACAGGCATAAATTATAGCACTATATCATCTTTGCAGATGATAATTTATGTAAGAGTGGCTTCTATTCAGGACACTACAAATCTCCAAGCTGATATAAGCTAGGTCTTCCAATGGGCTACAGAAAACAGTGTTGCTCAATAAGGAAAAATTTCTGTTTCTCAGCTGTAGGAAGATTGAGAACTATTCACTTGAGCAGTAGGCTAAAGTGAAGACTTACAAGAGATGTCATCCAACAGTGACAGGGTAACACAACTGCAAGGAAAATAATAAACTGGATAACTAGAACCTTCAAAATAAGAGATACCAAGCCAGTAATGATATTCTTTAAAGAACCGTAGCTCTATCAATGAATTATTATTATACACTAGCAGTCCCCTTTTCTTTCAGCAAACCAGACGTATCTCACTGAGCAACTTTCATTTTTCCTAAAAGGAAAAATGAAAGTTGCTCATTTTAAATTTAGTAATATAATAGACCTTGAGTAATATAGTAGACCTTGAGCCTTGTTCTGTTAGGGAGACAATTTTTTTATTTAGCTCCTTGACTGTAACAGGTTACCAGTGTCTTAACCCTTAAATGGTCCAAACGTATATATACGTTTTTTCAACATCTGAAAGTATGTAAAAAAATGTAGATCTTTTTTTTTTTGTTTTACATGTGAAAACGTGTAAAAAAAACTTTTATCTACATTTTTTTTTTGTTATATTTGAAAATATGTAAAAAAAAGTAGATCTAGCACTACGAATTTGAACGTCGATCTGTTTGGACCGTTTAAGGGTTAAAGAGTCGCCAATCTGTTCACGCTTTTAAGTCTCTATTGAAATCACACACTTTTCTAGAGTTTAGTCCTGATGAGCATACTGTCACTTTTGTATATAAACTTTGTTAATTTTTCTTTTTATCATATTTATAGTTTGGTGTGTGAGCACTTGTGAATTTTTTGAAAGAATAAGCATTGAAGAATCATAATTTTCCAGATTTTTATTTTTACTATATTAGTTATTATTAAGTTATTGGGAACACCTGAAAACCCTTGAATGTAGGCAACAAGGAAAGATTATTAATTTACACCTGCAAAAATCTGGAGGGATTGGTCCCTAATCTACTCACAGAAATTGTTCCCAACAAAAGAAAGTAGCGCAGCAGACATTGCAAAGTACCCCCAGTGAAGAGCAAGGATGGAATGACTTTTCAACACCCTCCTTTTCATATGCAAGAAAAAATACCAATATTCCTTTAGCTGTCTTCAAGGAGGAACTTAGTAAGTTCATGTCAATTCCTGATAAGCCAGGATGTGGTACCTACATTGGACTGTGCACTGCCAGTTTCAACAGCCTGATTGATCAGGTCATCAAGCAAGAGGCCTGGCCTAGGACCAGGATGTTTGGGCATCAACCCCTGGAAATTTCTACTTGTAAACTATGGTCAAGTTAATCTACTCTGCTGTACCCAGAGAATTAAAATAGTGTATGTTGACAAGTTATCGAAACTAAAAAAAAAAAAAAAATATTCTTGGTAAAACTTCTCATGCCTCACTCTGTGTATGTATGGTACAGAGAGGCAATGTAAAGTGCAGTAGTGGCAGTTAAATGAATGTACTGGAATGATGTAGTCATCTTTATAGGTTGACTGGTAATTATACAAATAAAGCACAAAGGATTAAAGTGAAGGTTTGGTTGTGACAGCAAGCTTCATAGAAAGGAAAATGAGCAAAAAGATGGGGATATATTTTATTATAAGAGGTGAATGATGGCCTGTAGGTCTCTGAAAATTTCCCAATTCTTATGCCTTTTCTGTTTGTTTCCTGTTAAGAAAGTTCTTACAGTAATTTTTTCTTACTACAGCTGTTTCCTGTAGAGATACCCAAAGAGGAAACACATTCACTAGCATAAGTCCAATAGCTGTCTTTCCAGAAGTTTATGGACAACATAATTCAAATGACGCTCTGAATTACAAAATCCCCACTTCTCCTTCGATTGCAGGCTAGGACTTTAGTTCAGTTAACCAGGTTTCCCTAAACCATTTCATAAATCTAACCTTACTTATACTCAACCAACACGTCAAATTCCAAAAACTTCTTTTGTCTGTTCTTGATCCAATTAGATCAGTCACGCATTTCTGTTGGGTGCTGAACTTTCTCCCACTCAAAGATCTCACTCACTCATTCTCTCCAACCACGTTGGGATGAATTTCACCTTTCCATCAATCCTGGATTTAAGCATCCTTTTTGGCTAGCCTGTTTCGTTGCATCGTTTCTAAGTTACCAAACTCTCGGCAACCCTTTTTAGCCCAGGGCCAGGCTGTGAGGGTAGTAACCCCCCCCCCCCCCCCCCTGTGTAATTTCTGCATAATTTGCACACCTGATTTTATGTTGTAGCCACTTTTCATTCCTTCTTAAGTAATTCATTCATTGGTAGTTTCTATCTGAAGTTGGAGTTTCATTTGCAAATTAAAGCATAAATTATAAAGTTTATGCCATTTCTTAACTTTTTTTTAGCTAACCAGCACTGAATGGAGTCTCTCCAGTATGGCCACCTTCTTCTCAAGGAAGACACAGATTAATCTGGTGAGCCTCTCTTGGAGTGTATGGCTTGAACAAGCATGTGTTTTTGTGACTAGTCCTTTTCATCACATGGCCAAATGCAAATATTCTGTCCTATTTATTCAACTCATTCAACACTTTCAACATCACTTGTACACAATCACTGTCTTTGCAGAGGCACTCAGATACAACAGTTTAGATGTCCCTCCAAACTGCCAATATCCCAAACCCCTCCTTTAAAGTGCAGGCACTGTACTGCCAATTTCCAGGACTCAAGTCCGGCTAACCGGTTTCCCTGAATCCCTTCACAAAATATTACCCTGCTCACACTCCAACAGCTCGTCAGGTTCCAAAAACCACTTGTCTCCTGTCACTCCTATCTTATACACTCATGCACACTTGCTGGAAGTCCAAGCCCCTCACCCATAAAACCTACTTTACCCCCTCCCTCCAACCCTTCCTAGGCCGACCTCTACTCCTCCTTCCCTCCACTACAGATTTATACACTCTTGAAGTCATTCTGTTTTGCTCCATCCTCTCTGAATGACCAAACCATCTAACATATTGTCTGTAATTCTACTTGCATACTATTCAGTTTAATGAGAACTTAAAATGACTTAATTTAAATTTTTTATCCTAATTTTGTTGTGTTTATTTCAGTCTGATGGATTGATTCACAAGTTAGAGTCAAGTGAGTTATATGAGTTGCAACCTTCTGAAGTTATTGCTGTATTGAAAGCTCTGTGCCACCAAGCCATTGCTTCTGATACTGTCCTTGTAAGTATACTAATTTATTTGAAAGGCAAGACTCGTCATCAGGTCTGGTAAAAAAAAAAATGTGTAGAACAAATCTTTATTTAGAGATTGTTATGTTCTAAGCAGAGCTTTTGCAAAATTCTGTTTAAAATAGAATATTCTATAAATAAGAGCTTACTTTGCACCTGTGTATTTATTTAAAAAAGTGATGATGTTCCATGTTATGCTTGATAGAAGCTTGCAAATAAGAAAAATTGAAAACAAGCAGAAAGAATTGTCACAAAATTTATACGAAGACTTTAATTTTGACTTACACCTTGGAGGGAGGGAGTATGGAAGAAGTGAAAGTGTTCAGATATTTGGGAGTAGATTTGTTAGTGGATGGGTATCTGTGGAGGGAAAAAATGTTATCCATAGAGGCAAAGAAGGGAATGCATGAGAGTATAGTAGTACCAACACTCTTATATGGTTATGAAGCTTGGGGTTATGAATGCTGCAGTGAGGAGGAGGCTGGAAGCAGTGTGGTGTAAATATTATGCAGAGAATTCATAGTGTGGAAATTAGGAGGTGTGGAGTTACAAAAAAGTATTATTCAGAAGGCTGAAGAGGGATTATTGAGGTAGTTTGGTCATGGAGCAATATAGGTTGTCTTCGAGGGTGTATAAATCTGTATTGGAGGGGTAGGGGTCGTCCTAGGAAAGGATGGAGGGAGAGGGTAAAAGAGGTTTTGTGTGCAAGGGGCCTGGACAGTGGCGGCTCATAACGCCAGTTATACCCATACTAACGTACCACATCAAACTTCTATTTTTAATAAATTTTTATCTTGTTTTAACAATAAAAATTCACTTAAGGACGTACTCGTTTAACGACACCTCGGACTTATGATGGGCTCTCTGACCAGTATTTGTCTAATGTAGATTGGAGCTGATTTTCTCTATTGTTTATTTCAATATACAGTACACTACTGTATAAACATTTAAAAATATACCAGAAATGTTATAAATGGTGCAAAGGTGACATTAAAACAATATCAGAGATGGTTGACACAAGCCCTCTACCATTTTAGTGTGCTCCTCACTTAGCGAAGAATTCGTTTAACGACGTGGTAACTCCTTCGTTAAGTGAGGAGAAGCTGTAATGTATTTGTCAGTTGCAAATTATTTTAGCGTAGGGTTGATGAAGTCATGTGTCTGGCAGTGAGCATTTGGAGGGACTGCAGCTCTGCAGCTCCTATGGACGAGCCGCCACTGGGCCTGGACATAAAGCAGGCATGTGTGAGCAAGTTAGGAGTGAATGGAGATGAATAGTTTTTGGGACTTGATGAGCTGTTGGAGTGTGAGCAGGGTAATATTTTGTGAAGGGATTCAGGGAAGCCAGTTAACTGGACTCGAGTCCTGGAGGTGAGAAGTACGTACCATGCCTGCACTTTAAAGGAGAGATTTGAAGTATTAGCTGTTTGGAGTGACATTTAAACTGTCATATCTGGGCACCTCTGCAAAGACAGTAATTATGTGTGAATGATGGTGAAAGCATTTTTCTTTTTTGGGCCACCCTGCCTCAGTGGGAGATGGCAGACACGTTGAATAAAAAAAGCAATCTATTCAATAATGTTTGAAAAAAGAATAAAAAGCAATAAAAATATTAATATTTCTCAAATGTTTAGCCTACATAGTAGGCTGCTTCATTTGAAATAAAGAATACTCTTGGAGGGCCTAGACCCCTGCTTGCAAACTTGCTCCCAGGGTCAAAGAATTTTCAAAAAAAAAAAAAAAAAAAAAATTATGAAATGATAGAGAATATTTATTCGAAGGTAATGAAACCAAAAGCACGAAATTTGATGGAAAACTTATGGATTACGCTCTTGCGAAGTTGGCAATCTCAGTGATATTTGCGTATCAGCGATTTCACCCACTTTGAGCCCTATTTTGGGCCAATTCCATTGTTCCAGTTGACCAAACTCATAGCTGTTTACCTAGAGCTCCTTTTATTCTACACTAGAGGACTCCAGGATGATGAATAGACTGATGCAATGGTCGGAGAAGTGGCAGATGCAGTTTAATATTGACAAATGCAAAGTTCTAAATGTTGGACAGGTAAATAACCATGCCACATATAAACTAAATAATGTAGATCTTAATACTACTGATTGCAAAAAGGATTTAGGAGTTCTGGTTAGCAGTAATCTAAAACCAAGACAACAGTGCATTAGTGTTCGCAATAAAGCTAACAGAATTCTTGGCTTCATATCTAGAAGTATAAATAATAGAAGTCCTCAGGTTGTTCTTCAACTCTATATATCCTTGGTTAGGCCTCATTTAGACTATGCTGCTCAGTTCTGGTCACCGTATTACAGAATGGATATAAATGCTCTGGAAAACATAGAGGAGGATGACAAAGATGATCCAATATATCAGAAATCTTCCCTATGAGGATAGACCGAGGGCCCTGAATCTGCACTCTATTGAAAGGCGTAGAATTAGGGGGGATATGATCAAGGTGTATAAATGGAAAACAGGAATAAATAAAGGGGATGTAAATAGCTTGCTGAAAATTTCCAGCCAAGACAGGACTCGCAGCAATGGTTTCAAGTTGGAAAAATTCAGATTCAGGAAGGATATAGGAAAGCGCTGGCTTGGTAATAGAATTTTGGATGAGTGGAACAAACTCCCGAGTACATTTATTCAGGCTAAAACGTTGTTTAGTTTTAAAAATAGGTTAGATAAATACATGAGTGGGTGTGGGTGGGTGTGAGTTGGACCTGACTAGCTTGTGCTGTTGGGTTTGGTGCCGTGCTCCTTCCTTGAGTGGAGGTGACCAGACTGGGTGGGTCATTGGGCTAATCCAGGGGGGGGGGGTCATTGGGCTAATCCGGGGGAGGGACATGGACCTGATCTGCATGGGTCAGTAGGCCTGTTGCAGTGTTCCTTCTTTCTTATGTTCTTAAATTGCCCATTTAATACTTAATTCAGCTACCCAATAAAGTGATCAGAAATTACTAATTTGGTCAGTTTCACACAAAATTCAAGAAAGGCCAATTTCAAAATAGGGTCCAGAATAAATAATATAGGCATTCCTGGCACTAAAATAACATTTTCTCTGTTCATTAGTCACATCTCCTGCCCCTCCCCCCCCCCTTTTTTTTTTTGATCACGCTTTTCATTTTGAATTTTTATTCCCACATAAAATAGAAGATTTATTGTTATTCAGACTACTGCATAATGCTAGTAACTATATAAATAATGTCACTGCATTCATGAGTGCATATTAAACTGGCCAGTTGATGTGTATTGGATGCATGACGTGTTTTGTTTGCTCTTGAACATTGACAGAAATTGAACATTTCTGCTACTTTGAGCTCAATTTCAAGCTACTTTTACTCTGTAAACCATTCAAAATCATACCGTTTCTGTAATATATCTAACATTCTATCAAATGAGACCAAAAAACTGAGAATACAACCATACAAAAATATACCGTAGTCACTGTTTTACACCAAAAGCACAGTAGCAGTTTTCTCATGCACTGTGTGCTGCAAGATTTTTTATATACTGTGCAAACTGACCTTGCAGACCCATTCTTTCATGTGTAGACCTACCAACTTTCTCCTGCAAGATTGGAAGCCGCTAGAATTTTGATGTTGTTTTACAGGACCGACCCTGGCTTCAAAGCCGTAATTTTACGGGACCGACCCTGTAAGGGTTAAACATGCATTATTTAGCATTTCTCAGTTATGCAGAAAATGTAAAACCATCCTGAGGCAGGAGTGGTAATACAGGAAGCTGGGAGGATAGCAGATAATGTTCACTCTACTCAAAGTTTTTTTCCTGACTGCATCATTTCCATTTATATGCATTTTCTCACTTGTTATTATTAATCACCAGCATGTACAATTATTATGAAATACCACAGCAGTAGACATCACCATAGGTATGGGAATTCAAATTTACATTATACCCTGTGGAGGCTGCGACAGGATTTATGTAGGTGAAACAGCAAGAAACCTCGAAACACGCCTTAGTGAACACATTTATGCATGTAGGAATGATACCTTGAACAACGCCTGTGTACAACACCGAAATTCCACCAGTCATCTCATGAAATTCAAGGATGCCCTATTAGTGATCAAAGAAACTAATTTCCACAGATGCAAGTGCCTTGAATCAGCACTATTCGCTGTTTCTAATACAGTTAAACAAAACAAAGGCAGCTTCACCATCTCTGAAGTCTTAGCAAGAATCCTCCTGAAAACAGTAAACCCTGCCATCACATAGTCTTTCCTGCTAATACTACACAAGCACATTACAGAAGATGAACACTGAACCAGGCCTTTTCTAATCCAGTCTCCAATAGAAATATTTGTGTAACCTATTTTTATGCTACCCAAGTAATAGCCTTTATATCCTTTTACTCATGAGCAAGTTGATTGTTCTACCATATTGCTGCTGCTGCTGCTGCTGCTGCTGCTGCTGCTGCTGCTGCTGCTGCCGCTGCCGCTGCCGCTGCCGCCGCCGCCGCCGCCGCCGCCGCCGCCGCCGCCGCCGCCGCCGCCGCCACCAGTAGTATTACACCTCACTCTAAGCCTGTATATACCCTGTGTCCATGTATTGTTTGTAACAGCTTGACAAAGCTCCTGGAGAGTGAAACGTTGCCACAATAAAATGTCACATTAGTTGTACTTGTGTCCTTTTACTTTACATGTTGTCAGTAATTCTACCAACATTTATACATATACTTATATCAATGCTTGGTTAAGCTGTTACTGCATGGTGAATATGCTTTTCAGTTGTTTGGATACCTTGGCTCTGAGTAATTTTAAGCATCATGTGTGCGATAAGTTTTGTTATGTCACATAATATGAGGGGTCTGCTGTAACATTTATATACCTTTGATATACCTTTGAAGAGTTTCGAGAGTTTCTCTACTCTCTGAGCCTGCCCATGGGTCAGGCTTGTCTCCTGCTTGCCTGGTCAACCGGGCTTTTGCTGCTGGAGGTCCGCTGCCCCATGTATCCATCACAGCCTGCTTGATCTGGCACCCGATAAAAATACTTTTCCGGTTTCCTCCTGAGGGCTTCTACACTTGTTCCACCTGTGTTTCTGGTATCTTCTGGTAAGATGTTGAATAGTCTGGGACCTCGAATGTTGATAGTGTTCCCTTATTGTCCCCACCGCACCCCTGCTCCTCATTGGGTTTATTTTGCACTTCCTCCTATATCTCACTCCAGTATGTTGTCATGGCAGTGTGCAGATTTAGGACCAGGCCCTCGAGTACTTTCCAGGTGTATATTATCATGTACAGTGGTACCCTGAATTTCAAACTTTCTTCATTGTAGAAGGCTGTTCAAGCGCTGATACCAAATGAATTTGTTCCTATAAGGAATAATGTAAATTACATTAATCCAATTCAGACCTCCAAAAATGCACTTACAAAAGCACTTACAATTATACACTTACATAAATGGTTGAGTTGGGAGTAGTTCAAAACTCGGTGTACCACTGTATCTCTCTCTCCTCTGCTCCAGTGAGTACATGTTCAAGACTTGAAGGTGTTCCCATTAATTTAGTTGCTTTACTGGCTCAGTGTGAGCCATAAATGATCTCTGTATTTGTTCTACCTGTGATATTTCTCCTGCATTGAACTGGGCCATCAGCACTGAGCAATATTCTAAGTGAGGGAGCACTAGCAATTTGAAGAGTGTCACCATCAGCATTATTTCTCTTGTTTTGAAAGTTATCAATACCCACCCCGTCATCTTCCTGGCTGTCGTGATCTTTGTCTTGTTGTGGTCTTTAAAAGAAAGGTCAACTAACATAATTATTCCCAGGTCTTTTACATGTTCCTTTTGTTCTGTTTGGTGATGCTCTTGAGTTTTGTATACATGTGTAATGTTCCTTTCGAGTTCTTCATTCTTTCCATACCTAAGCAACTGGAGCTAATCACCGTTGAACATCATATTATTCTCCACTGCCCACTGGAAAACCCTGCTTATGTCTTCCTGTAATTTTTCAGTGTCCTCTACCATAGTGACTTTCATGCTTATTTTGGTGTCCTTTGCAAATGATGATACAAAAGTGTGCCAGGTGTTTTTATCTGTGTCTGCTATGAGGATGATAAACAGCAGAGGTGCCAGGACAGTGCTGTGGGGCACTGAGCTTTAGACCTCACTGATTCTGGATCTTGCCCTGTTCACTACTACTTTTTGCAACGTGTTTTAAAGCATCAGGTTATTTGATTTATGGCTTTTAAGATGGGTAAATACTGATAATGAACTCTTTTATAGTATTATTTAATTTATTTTGTTATCCCATAGGAACATGTTGAAGAAATTGAAGAAAAGGTGTACACACTGTATAAGGAGCGAGCCCAAATTAAAAAGATCAGTTTAAAAGAAGAGATGGAGAAGAAGAAGCAGAGAAAACAGGAACGTCTGCAGAAAAAAATAAACAAAACAAAGACACCCAAAAAATCTCCAGGCCGTCCTAGAGGCTACAGTCCAAAGAAAAAAGGTAAAAATTCAAATGCCATAATTATGATCTGTAGTGGATCAAAGAGTGCAGCCATATATCTAGCATTAGTAGATGATTACTTAGGTATGAACAATTTCCATTATTAAAAGTAGTCACAGCCCATTTGTCTAACAAGTTTTACACTTGCATTCGTTTCCGGAAAACAACCGCCTTGATATGATCTGCAGTCACTGCAGTGTTGACAGTTGTATAACAGCTTTCTTTCAGCAGCTCATTTACTTAATCTGATTCTCATACTGCAGACTTGTTTATCAACTTGAGATCTTTATAACCATAACATGGTTGAAAAATTGTGGCATAATTTTGACGAGTATGCCACAATCTTCATTTATCACGGTGGAAATGTAGCAGAAAATGTGGCATGCTGTGAAAACTTTTCCCTCCACCTCACAGCTAACCTATGGGCACAACCACTGTTATAATGGGGAGGCCTAGCCTCACTCTTAACTCTGTCAGTGGCCCTCATGTAGATCCACACATAAATTCTAGTGACTTCAAATTTGGCATGAGAGATCTAATAGGCCTGCATATGAGAGAATGGGTCTGTGCAGTCAGTGTGCTCACTACAAAATATCGGGGGTCCTGCAGCACTGCGTGAGAATGCCATATTTAGTACACCCTGCTTATTATGATGCACAGATGCAAGAGCCTCACTTCGAGGCATACTGAACGAGTTTTGTTCCCCAGTGACAGCTCCAACAACAAGAATTATGGAATGGATGAGGAGTTCTTTGGTTTCAAACATTTAATGACTAAAAGTGATCTTCAGGATGCTGGAAATATCACTGCAAGATGATCACTAAATACCCTCTTGCTTTTTTGTTGATCACTTTCTAACAGTACAGTGGACCATCGGGTAACCGGCATCGGCTAACACCAAAATTGGATAGCTGCATGTTTTTGTGTCAAAATATTGGCTTGGCTAATGCCCAAGAACTCAGTTAAGGACATTCGTCTGAACGTGTCAGTACGGCCTGAGCCCATGTAAAGCCAGTGTGCTATTGTTTAGAAGCCAGGGAGGACAATTCCATGCATACATGCAATATATTTTGCATTATTCCATTGTTTTTAGTGCTTGTTGGTAGACAGCAACCACCCAGGGAGGTACTACCGTCCTGCCAAGTGAGTGTAAAACGAAAGCCTGTAATTGTTTTACATGATGGTAGGGTTGCTTGTGTCTTTTGTCTGTCTCATAAATATGCAAGATTACAGGTATGTCTTGCTACTTCTACTTACACTTAGGTCACACTACACATATATGTACACGTTTATTTATACACACTCATCTGAGTTTTCTTTGATTTTATCTTAATAGTTCTTGGTCTTATTACTTTTCCTTTTATATCCATGGGGAAGTGGAATAAAAATCTTTCCTCTGTAAGCCATGCGTGTTGTAAAAGTCAACTAAAATGCCGGGAACAATGGGCTAGTAACCCCTTTTCCTGTAAAGATTACTAAAAAGAATAAGAAGAAGAAAATTGTCAAAGTGGGAAGTCTGAATGTGCGTGGATGTTGTGCAAATGATAAGAGATGATTGTGGATGTTATGAATGAGAAGAAGCTGGATGTCCTGGCTTTAAGTGAAACAAAGCTGAAGGGGGTGGGAGAGTTTCAATGGAGAGGAATAAATGGGATTAGGTCAGGGGTTTCAAATAGAGTTAGAGCTAAAGAAGGAGTAGCAATAATGTTGAAGGATAAGCTATGGCAGGAAAAGAGGGACTATAAATGTATAAATTCAAGGATTTTGGGGAGTAAAATAAAGATCGGATGTGAAAAGTGGGTTATAATAAGTGTGTATGCACCTGGAGAAGAGAGAAGTGTAGAGGAGAGAGAGAGATTTTGGGAAATGTTGAGTGAATGCGTGGGGAGTTTTGAATCAAGTGTGAGAGTAATGGTGGTTGGGGATTTCAATGCTAAAGTGGGTAAAAATGTTATGGAGGGAGTAGTAGGTAAATTTGGGGGTGCCAGGGGTAAATGTAAATGGGGAGCCTTTAATTGAGCTATGTGTAGAAAGAGATTTGGTAATAAGTAATGCATATTTTATGAAAAAGAGGATAAATAAATATACAAGATATGATGTAGCATGTAATGAAAGTAGTTTATTAGGTTATGTATTGGTGGATAAAAGGTTGATGGGTAGGCTCCAGGATGTACATGTTTATAGAGGGGCAGCTGATATATCGGATCATTATTTAGTTGTAGCTACAATTAGAGTAAGAGGTAGATGGGAAAAGAGGAAGGTGGCAACAACAAGTAAGAGGGAGGTGAAAGTGTATGAACTAAGGGAGGAGGAAGACCTCTTTAGCCTTATCTAAATACTGTTCACTTACATGTTTCACTGTAAACACCTGGTCCACACACCCCCTACCTTTCCTAAAGCCTCCTTGTTCATCTGCTATCCTATTCTCAGTCTTACTTTTAATTCTTTCAATAATAACTCTACCATACACTTTACCAGGTATACTCAACAGACTTATCCCCCTATAATTTTTGCACTCTCTTTTGTCCCCTTTGCCTTTATACAAAGGAACTGCATGCTCTCTGCCAATCCCTAGGTACCTTACCCTCTTCCATACATTTATTAAATAATTGCACCAACCACTCCAAAACTATATCCCCACCTGCTTTTAACATTTCTATCTTTATCCCATCAATCCCGGCTGCCTTACCCCCTTTCATTTTACCTACTGCCTCACGAACTTCCCCCACACTCACAACTGGCTCTTCCTCACTCCTACAAGATGTTATTCCTCCTTGCCCTATACACGAAATCACAGCTTCCCTATCTTCATCAACATTTAACAATTCCTCAAAATATTCCCTCCATCTTCCCAATACCTCTAACTCTCCATTTAATAACTCTCCTCTCCTATTTTTAACTGACAAATCCATTTGTTCTCTAGGCTTCCTTAACTTGTTAATCTCACTCCAAAACTTTTTCTTATTTTCAACAAAATTTGTTGATAACATCTCACCCACTCTCTCATTTGCTCTCTTTTTACATTGCTTCACCACTCTCTTAACCTCTCTCTTTTTCTCCATATACAGTACTCTTCCCTCCTTGCATCACTTCTACTTTGTAAAAACTTCTCATATGCTAACTTTTTCTCCCTTACTACTCTCTTTACATCATCATTCCACCAATCGCTCCTCTTCCCTCCCGCACTCACTTTCCTGTAACCACAAACTTCTGCTGAACACTCTAACACTACATTTTTAAACCTACCCCATACCTCTTCGACCCCATTGCCTATGCTCTCATTAGCCCACCTATCCTACAATAGCTGTTTATATCTTTCCCTAACTGCCTCCTCTTTTAGTTTATAAACCTTCACCTCTCTCTTCCCTGATGCTTCTATTCTCCTTGTATCCCATCTACCTTTTACTCTCAGTGTAGCTACAACTAGAAAGTGATCTGATATATCTGTGGCCCCTCTATAAACATGTACATCCTGAAGTCTACTCAACAGTCTTTTGTCTGCCAATACATAATCCAACAAACTACTGTCATTTCGCCCTACATCATATCTTGTATACTTATTTATCCTCTTTTTCTTAAAGTATGTATTACCTATAACTAAACCCCTTTCTATACAAAGTTCAATCAAAGGGCTCCCATTATCATTTACACCTGGCACCCCAACTTACCTACCACACCCTCTCTAAAAGTTTCTCCTACTTTAGCATTCAGGTCCCCTACCACAATTACTCTCTCACTTGGTTCAAAGGCTCCTATACATTCACTTAACATCTCCCAAAATCTCTCTCTCTCCTCTGCATTCCTCTCTTCTCCAGGTGCATACACGCTTATTATGACCCACTTCTCGCATCCAACCTTTACTTTAATCCACATAATTCTTGCATTTACACATTCATATTCTCTTTTCTCCTTCTATAACTGATCATTCAACATTACTGCTACCCCTTCCTTTGCTCTAACTCTCTCAGATACTCCAGATTTAATCCCATTTATTTCCCCCCACCGAAACTCCCCTACCCCCTTCAGCTTTGTTTCGCTTAGGGCCAGGACATCCAACTTCTTTTCATTCATAACATCAGCAATCATCTGTTTCTTGTCATCTGCACTACATCCACGCACATTCAAGCATCCCAGTTTTATAAAGTTTTTCTTTCTCTTTTTTTAGTAAATGTCTACAGGAGAAGGGGTTACTAGCCCATTGCTCCCGGCATTTTAGTCGCCTCATACGACACGCATGGCTTACGGAGGAAAGATTCTTTTCCACTTCCCCATGGACAATAGAAGAAATAAAGAAGAACAAGAGCTATGTAGAAAAAAGAGAAAAACCTAGATGTATGTATATATATATGCATGTGCATGTCTGTGAAGTGTGACCAAAGTGTAAGTTGGAGTAGCAAGATATCCCTGTTATCTAGCGTGTTTATGAGACACAAAAAGACCCCAGCAATCCTACCATTATGCAAAACAGTTACAGGTTTCTGTTTCACAGTCATCTGGCAGGACGGTAGTACTTCCCTGGGTGGTTGCTGTCTATCATATGAATTATGATAGATAAATAAGGCGTAGAGATGATATTAGTGTCGTGTTAAAGCATAATAAACTCGCCTCCCTCTCCCCTCCTACCTGTCTGCCATACACTAACAAGAGTCTTGTAAATCTATATTTAATCTTTAAAAATATTTTTTTTTTGTTAATACTTTTGGGTGTCTGAAATGGATTAGTTGGATTTCCATTATTTCGTATGGGGAAAATGGTTTCACCAATCGTGAATTTCGCCATTCAGCAGACTCTCTGCAACGGATTAATCATGAAATTCGAGGGTCCCCTGTACAAGCACATACGTACAGTGGTACCTTGAGTTACGAGTGCCCCAGCTTACAAGTTTTCCGAGTTATGAGTCGTTGCTTGCAAGCCAGAATTCGAGTTACAAGCGAGTTTCAGATATGCCACCACTAGTTGGCACAGCGAACACCACAATTTCTACCCACCATCCTGCGTCT